CTACACAGCGCAACAACCCAGAAGACAGAAATCTTCATACTCTGATGACGGAGGCAGTATGACCTCTGAAACGTTGGTTAACATCTACCAGACTACACAGCGCAACAACCCAGAAGACAGAAATCTTCATACTCTGATGACGGAGGCAGTATGACCTCTGAAACGTTGGTTAACATCGACCAGACTACACAGCGCAACAACCCAGAAGACGGAAATCATCTGTATTCTTCTCGTCTGAAACAAAATCATCTTCACGCTAAATTTCTTTCGGACCCTAAGCTCTGTGGTATTTATTTGCTTTAATGTTAGTTTTCATTAATAACAAAATATTAAAGTACTTACCACGCGTAACTTCGCCATATCTTATCAAATCTTGTAAATTAAATTAGTAAGTAGTGCCTGTGGAAAATCACGGGAGCGCGGCCATAGCTCGTTGGTTCGTTTTCAGAATTGTAAGCGTCGTTAGAATGCGAACATTTTCATGCTTACAAGACATGTTAACAGCTGTAACAGTGTATTCTACTATGTCATTTATTAAACAATTTAAATTTCTCAAAGAATATTTTAAGGTATGTTTAAAAGGGGGAACAGTATAATGGGATACGAACGCCATATAAATATGAACCATTGAGCGAGGATAAATAATGCAAATCGGGCAGAATGCCCGGCCGATGTGAGTGTTTTCGACGTAACAGTGATGGATTAGAGTGCGAACCGTGAAGTGAAGCTTCTCGTTGCGTAGCTGTTTTAATTCCCCTGATATTTCAGACTTCTCCAGTTCAAATATTCTCACTATACACGTACGCGCACACTAAATCAAACTGCGATGTGATGTGATATATCCTGAAATTGTGTATGAAAAATTAAAAGCTTAAAAATGTATATTTCTTGCAGCTGATAAAAATTCAAAGTAGAAATCCGTAAAAAATCTCCGGAATATTTATACTTTGTGAACTTGGTATCATTTTGTTGACACTCGTAATTAAAGTAGGGAGAATTACATATTATTAAATTTAAATTTAACATAAAATATACTAACATAATCATGTCTCTTAGATGTACAATTAAATCGATGTTCAAATGTAGCGGAATTTATACACTGACGATTATCATACTGAAAGCCTGTTTCACGGTGTAAAGTAGCTTAATATCGTTATCCGTCAGCGTTATATAATTCCAACAAATTACACGTTAATTTTCATACTAACAAGCTAATAAACTCCTATTAATAACTGATTAATTATCGGATTTTCACCACCGTAACAGTAAACAAATTTAAATTTTAAACTGTTTAAACAACGGATATATATCAATTTATATGTGGCTTAGTATAAATTTATTATTTGTATCCTTTCGCTCTAACGTTTTGTTGAGAGTTACGTGAACATAATGATTTATGTCTGCATCACGTGTTTGAGTTTATGGATAACAGAAGTTGAAGTTTCCCAGCCACTACCACGTGCTTTATAACTGGAAAGTAAGAAAAGTTAATCTAAATAGACAGCACACTGCAGGTACCTCAAATCCAGTTTGCAATAGGTCACAGGATGACACACTAGATTGTGTAAGAAATCGTAATTATTTATAAAAAATTAAATATTCTGAAAAATATATAATATTGTCTTATTACAGATCTGGAGGGGAAAATACGTGTGTATGGTAGAGTACAATACTGTTTTTTAATAATTTTCTATTGCCACGGTAAAGAATTATTCGCCCGGAACTTGCAACCAAAATATAATTGTCGAATTTCTATTGCCACGGTAAAGAATTATTCTCCCGGAACTTGAAACCAAAATATAATTGTCGATTTATATGTATTTTTCATATTACAGTAAATATAATTTAGTAAATGAGCCAACTCGTACCTCAAGTTGAAATTCCTGTCTGTACTCTATGATTATTTTTGCGTAATTTTAAATCGATTAATGTATGTGAGGACTTTCGGAAGCTGTTCTTCGTAGATTACAGTAATTATGTAAGACGTTCGATTTAATTGTCCACTACGAATTTTCTTCGAAAACTTTGCCACAGTACCCCACATCTTCGCAATACTAAAATATGGGATTTACGTAAAGCATATAAGACGAACGAAAACATTCTCATGTGCTTAAATGCGCATCTTAATGCTGGCCTAGATTTAACACTGTGAAGCCGAAACTCATCCACATAATATTTATGAATTTATTCCGTACCTCAAAACAAAGCACTTCCTCATTGCAAAGATCAAATGATTAACGTTGTTTCAGGATATATATATATATATATATAAATCAGTACACATGAACCCACAGCGAACTTGGCTAACTTTAGAAAATGTTCAAAGTCCCTGTTCTCCGAGAAACTTGGTCCCACTTCAGTGATCTCTCATACAAAAAAAAAATACAGAATGTATTTCAAAACTCGACCTAAAAAAATACTACATACTACGGTACTTAGTAACACTATGTACGGGAAATTTTAATAGGTCTACATTTTATTCCGTTGGAATCAAATGTTATGGTCACGTTGTCTTTGTATCTGGTCTGCACATACATAGACTCGTTAAATATTGTCTTTGTATCTGGTCTGCACATACATTGACTCGTTAGGTAGAAATACATTCATGACGGCAAAACATTTATGGCTTCGTGAAAGAACAACTATATATTGGTCTGAATTGTAAAGCTCGGTTACAACGTTTTGCCATCGGACTTTCAGTTAAAGTAGAACATATCTGAATCATTATTACTGCATCAACCACGCAGACATTACATCGAATAGGGTTCATTCCAGCTGTGGTGTCGTATCGTAAAACTGACCTATTCATCGACAAACAGCAGTTGTATGAAGTTTCAAAGCTTTGGGAGGTTTGGAAGTCATAATAAACTCACTGGACGTCGTGGTACAGTTTCTTTAAAAGTGTTAAAAAATTCCTCATGACAGCTATTTTCCTAAGCTGTACCCACGCGTAATCTGTAATATATAAACTTCTCTCTCCAATTTTATTTAATCTTATCTGTTATAAGGATTAACGCACAAAACGATATTAGACCTCAACTGTTTTGTATCTGTGCAAAATAAATAAATGCTGTGACGAAATTATATTTGTACATGAAATACATTCACGTAGCACGGACTTAAGGTTTTAGAATTTTAGGCGAGTCCTACGCTGATATAAATAAGCGTGGTAAGTGAAGAGATCTGCAATCCCACGTCCATTTGCTGAATTGGGAATAACGATTGTCAAATTCAAAAGTTAAATATTTCAGCAGATCTGTCTGCAGCGTTTTAACGAATATCGTGTTGTCCTGTTGAATTTATTGCTACGTGTATTAACTCTGACATCTGTCGAAACAAGTAAAGCGAACGATGAAACATGTATCCGCTTTCCACATTTTGGAATTTGCAAGTTCGATGTTCCTCCCGTCATTATCGAACAGGCGAAATTTTAACTAAATACGTCAGAAAATTTTGCATTCGGTTCGTCGTTTTACTGATGGAACATTAATTAAATGCAGCGATGATCTCTTCTATTTGGTCTACAAGTAATACAACGTTAAAATTCTCAGTATATAAACGTATTATTACCTCGTATTCAATTTTGAAAAATTCCGGGCTTTCCAAGTTCATACTCAAAATTCTGACTAAAACTTTTTATTTTTACAAAAGTTAATCAGACGCGCTGATCTATGAGCTCAGCTTTGAAATATAATTTTGCCTCAATGATTTGAAGAATATTACCAATTTCGATTAAATTAATTATTTGTTTTTTCCGTCAAATCACAATGTATTTAAAATAAGATAATTAAAATAATTAAAATATCATTCTGTGTTCCATATCGATTATTCGATATTTTAATTATTTTAATTATCTTATTTTAAATACATTGTGATTTGACGGAAAAACCGAATAATTAATTTAATCTAATAAGTCACAATTTGACGCAACTACACTATCTTATATTACCAATTTCGTATTGAGCTATATTTCTCTGATTTAAACACTGTTTATCATTGCTCTCAGCTATTTGCTGAGTATATGTTGGCATTGCGTTTCGTTACAGTGGTGATGCAAGATTTCTCCGTTGGCGCCACCGGTAGCTCCGTGTCGAGAGGTAACATGGCGGTCCTGCGCTGTCTTGTCCCGAGCTTCGTGCGTGATTTTGTCAGCGTAACTTCGTGGCTTCAGGACCAGAAGTTCAACATTTATCCATCCAGTGACGGAGGTAATGATGATTCAGATACTTAGACAGATTTAAATAATTAACCAATTCCCTTTTGCTGAAATACAGTTTTCGTAAGTGTGTTTTATGACGTCTTACGTGCACGTATATGTTTAATTTCAGAACTGTATATTAGAATTTAACACACAATTAAGGTCTTGGTTCCATGGTCGAAACAGTGCACGATTAACACCAAAGGCGTAAGTCTACACGTTCTAAATCCACGATAACAGAGCTTTCAACCTATCTTTCACGATTGGGAGTCATTGTACCTCATATTAATGTACGTCGAGGTTTAGTTGTGGTCAGTTATTGAATATAATTAACGTGATTATTTAATTTTAGAGCCGATTGGATCGAATTTTCGTGAAACAAATATAATTGCTTTCGACAGAACGTGATATCAAATTGCGATGAAATGATTTATGAATCTGTTTGCCGATCAAGCGATATTAATAGGCTGAGTAAAATATAATTGGTTTGCCCCAGGATTTAAAAAGTGGAATCAAAAATGTTTTGCAACAAGTATAATTGCCATGAATGTACGTTTTAGCCCACAGATTAATATTTTCGTCGTGTTATCATGAGCATGAAATTTAAGACATGTCTACGAATGAAGTGTATACTTGCATATGATGGACCCCGATCTCCAGAATATTCTCCCCTGCCACGTCACTAAAATGTATCTGTACCTCTTGTCATCATTAGTATCATAGTATGGGCCTTGCTTCCTACGCGAAAGCCCTGGATCGAGCCCAGTTCAGTCCATGTGAGATTTTAGGTTGACAAAATATCGCTTAGTATCGCCATCAACGTACGAGCAAACCTCTCAATATTTTTATGTATGAAGGCAAGAATTAAGTATCTGATTCGGTACTGTAAATTGTCATACCTCGGGTGGCTTTTTACCTGTTTAAGAACAAAATGCTGACGGTAATACAGGGTGTGCCAAAAAGACGTATATACACATTTTAATCCGAAATCTTAACCTTATCGTTATACATCTTTTTGAAACACCCTGTAATTGTAAAAAGGAATTAAGACGCGACAGAGTGCTGGAGGAAATTTTGTAATGAGGAGGTTTATGAATTTTACTCGTCATAAAATACAGAGTAACAAAAAAATATCGTTAGTGAATTTGGTGTCTTAGAACACGGAACATTTGAGCGTTTCTTACTTAAGTAAAAACTTAATCAATGCGTGATCCGACTGTATTTAATAGCATTTGATGACGTCGACTGCAGTTTTCCACTCCGGTTTGAATAAAAGCAGGACATTTCTTGACTAGCTGAGAGGTTTTTTTTCTTTTCTTTTAGAAAATGTCAGTGCCAAACACATTTTTCCCTCTATTAGTAATACACGGCCAGTTTAATTGACTTGAACTTCATAACGAGATTGTTGGAGGCTGTGTATAGCATCATCTCCCCTGTGACGCTGCACAATGCGACGCG